CCAGTTCCTTGCTGTTGTGGTACTGAGGTGTCTGTGCCTTTGCTGGATTTCAACTCAGAGAAGCTGTCCTTAATCCTGACCGCAGAGTCAGCTCCATGTTCAGTGCCAGCAATGGAGAATTTTTCTTTTGTCTCTCTGCTGTTTTTAATAACCTTTGCCAGGAAGAGCCCAGTCCCTTGTAGGAATTCATGAGAGACCATAATCTCTTCTCATAACATCAAACATACCTTAAATATAACCTTATCAAAGGTGAGTATCTTATCATATTCACCGTGCTATTAGAAAAAGATTTATATATAGTTAAAAAGATCTATATATAGTTAAAAGGATCATGTATAGTTAAGACATACAAAATGAAATTCTACTGGAACAGTACAACTAAAGATAGAGATATTGAGAGCCTTTAGAATTCTGCATACCACACTGTCAAATAAATATCAGAAAAAAGACAATTGTGCATTCCCCTTCTAAGCAGATTTAAGAAGGAACTTTCAATGACAAAATGGGACCTTAGAATACTTAATATTGTATCTTATACCAATTAGTTATTATTTGATATGTAAATACTTAAGTTATCTGAAATATCAAATTCTGTATTTTGTTCTATTCTGAGGATCTATTGTCTTCTATACTCTGTACTTTTGAAGGCTGTGGCCTTTGGTTGCAACATTATTTTTATCAATACTAAGTTGAAGACAGTTAGGGATTGTGATCAGAAGTAACTTGAAATGGATTTGTGAAAATATCAATAGGAATTGGATTTGTTAGCAGAAAAATGGTGAGGGAATGTATCCTCAATTTTTGAAATATACATTCACTGGAGCCAAGCACTGAGCCTGGCAAGAATAAATCTCATTTTTTTAAAAAATTTCGCATTGCTATTGACATTTTTAGATAATAACATTATTTAGAAGAATCAGATGCATATTTGAAGCTGTGTGAATGAATAGGTAGATGATTTGAAACTGTCAGGGTAGGTGCAATGTAACCCAACTCAGTTCCCAGTTCATATCTGCATTTTGTCTTTCTCTTAGACTTCAAACTGTGAACTGAACTACCACATACTATTTTATTTCTGCGCTGTGCCATAAACTTGCAGAGTAACTTCATAAGAACCCACTTTTAATTTCCTCTTCTCTCATGAGTGATTTATCTACCACTTTGGAGTGTGAGGTGGAATAATTAAATAGTAATGTGAAGTGTGAAGTTTGTGGGTGGTTTGTTCCCTCTGAAAAGTCTGCGTTAATCAGAGTTGAACAGAATAGTGCCGGATTGGCAGCTTTGGATTTCGAAGGAGAAAGTTCTCTTTCTCCATGTCAGCACCTTCCCTTTGCCAGTCCCCTGTCCAGTAATGCTAAAAATTGAGATCATTTTTCAAGATTTATTTTATTTATTTGAAAGGCAGAGTTACAGGGAGGCAGAAGCAGAGAGAGAAAGGTCTTCCATCCACTGGTTCACTCCCCAGATGGCTGCAACGGTCAGAGCTGACCTGATCCAAAGTCAGGAGCCAGGAGATTCCTCCAGGTCTTCCACATGGGTGCAGGGGCCCCAGGACTTGGGCCATCTTCTACTGCTTTCCCAGGCCACAGCAGAGAGCTGGATCAGAAGAAGAGCAGCCGGGACTAGAACCTATGCTCATATGGGATGCCGGTGCTTCTGGCCAGGGCTTAAACCTGCTGTGCCACAGCGCTGGCCAGTTAGTGTCCTTTTTTATGACACATAAATAAATAAAAGATAAAACTACTATAAGAAAACAAAAGAGAGCAATTAAAGTTTATGACAGGGGAAGGCAAATAGTAGCAAAAAAAAAAATGGTGGAAGTGTAGTGAGTGAAAGGGAAAGTAGTTGCGGAGAGGTTATTGAGATATTGAGTTTGCAGTTGTAAATGGCTGTGTTAGTCACTGACAAAACTGGATTTCAGTCACAAGGAAATGGGATTCCAAGAATCAACACGACATGAACGAAAAAACTCCTATCTCCCCAGGAACAAACAATGGTATCTAAGGAAAGAGTTTAAACGCAGAACAAAGAGACAAAGTTAAAAATAATAATAAAGTTTACAGTAATAAAAGTTTATGTCCAGTTTCTATTATCAGATGAAAAATACTTAGCTCCTCAAATTAAATCTTGATTCAAGTCACCATAGTTTAGAGTTTCTCTCAAATCATAGATTGTAACAGGCTTTATACTTATGTAACTTAAAGACCTGTGGCAGAAGCTTTTAAACCAAGAACAGGCTCCACAAAGATCAATCAGGTAGCTACTTACTGAGAGGAACAAAAGAAAGAAAGGCTGTTGTGATTCTCTTGTTATTTTAGATAGAATGTAGTTTGAGAGGTGTGCTTGCAACTGAGAACAAATATTTTTGGAAAATCTGTTAGGTGGAGGAACTTTAAATGCCCAGTCTTTCATAACATTCATGGCTCCTTGAGGTAAAGGTCATTGAATTCATTTCTCAGGTGGTAAAATTAGGTATCTGAGAAATAATGCAACTTTTCCAAGGCCCTAGAGCTAATAAATGTTAGAAATGAAATTTGCACGTAAGTCTTTGTGATTCCAAGCAGCATGCATATTTTAACATACCCTGTCATTTATTGTAAGTGGGCAGTCAGGATTGAAGAAATTTTAATCATGCTTTGTTAAGGAAAGGCAAGTTGATGTAACACCAGCAGTTGGCATGATAATTTCAAAAGGATCTCTGATTTTACTCTGAATATTAGAATTTTATATGAATAAAACAGGAAAACTTACAATGAAACATGAAGTATGTATTTTACTTGTCTTGGATGAAGAAATAATTTGAATAGATGAATGCTTATATGTTGTGATATCATAAAGTTTTTAATGTCTCTTCTATTCCCAAATAGAAACCTTTACATCACATGCACCAAAAAGAGTCTGAGTAGACCAACATTCTGGTTCCATTTTCCTTGTCTAGTGGCAGATTTCCAGCTGGATGATAAATATAGTTTTAAACAAATAATTGTTTGAATAAGTCAATGGTCATTTAGACATCTTATAAGGATTTTTCTGAAACATATATAATATGTGCAATCTTAGTTTGACTAAAAAGTTTATAGATATTTGAGATATAGTTTGTCTACTAGAATAATCTTTTACCTCTAATTTAAAATTAACATATTCCAAGTAAGAAGTTTTTCAGAAATTGTACTAACAAAGCACATTTTGTTATTCTTCCCAAGGTGAGTTGGCAAACTGCTAGTATAACAGAATGTTCAGAAGGAAAAACAATGCAGGGTCCAAAAGTTTGAATATCACATATATTTATTATTTGCTTGAACACTTTAAGCAAGCACATGCATGTGAAAGTTTCTCGGATTTCTCTAGTGAGAAGCCCATAGACTGCCCTCCTCTGCTTTTTTCATAATGATCTTTGAAACAAATTTGGGCCAGTGCAGGTCTGTGAAAATGTCTTCCCAGTGGGAACACTGGTCAAACAGTCTACTGGGTATGAGTAGCTTCCAATTGCAACGTTCTTTAATAACGTTATTCATGAATGCTGATAATACAAATTTGAAATATTATTCTAGAAAACCCATTAAATTAACCATATTTAGAATATGAGAATGTATGAATATAAGAATTTTAGAGCTTAAATTTAAGATATATATGTTTTTTAATTAATTTGAAAAATTTCTTTGATATATCACTTGAAAAGTTCCATCTAGTTCAAATGTAAACAATATTAACCAAATGGAGTTCAGCTCTATCTAACCTAGTAGGTGTGTATGAATGGAAACAAACACCAATTCTTTCTTTACAGATGTTTAAACTATACCTATAAACTCCTAATAAAGATAATATGTGAAAAACAGTGGTGTATAATGCCAAAGTAGACAGTTATTTACTTATTTTAGCCTTCTATACTGAATCCCAAATCTTAGTGATGCTGGGCCAGAAAAGCATTTAGTTCTCCAACAATTGACATGGTCAAGATATCCAAACAATAAAATCCAATTGTCAAATTTCTAATAATTAGATCAGAGTAACACATTTGATAATTCTGATGTACGTTTGACTCAGCTTAAAAACTTTTTTGTGAGATAAAACCCATTAAAATTCTCATGCCTTGATGTGGGTATATGTTTACTCAATGGTTAAAAGGAATGAAAATTTGACAGTTCTGAGAAGTAATGGACTTCTATGAGCTGTTCGTTCTGTTGGTTGTACTTCTCTGGACAGGCAGAGTGGACAGTGAGAGAGAGAGAGAGAGAAAGGTCTTCTTTTGCCGTTGGTTCACCCTCCAATGGCCGCCGCGGCCGGCGCACCGCACTGATCCCATGGCAGGAGCCAGGTACTTCTCCTGGTCTCCCATGGGGTGCAGGGCCCAAGCACCTGGGCCATCCTCCACTGCACTCCCTGGCCACAGCAGAGAGCTGGCCTGGAAGAGGGGCAACCGGGACAGAATCCGGCGCCCTGACCAGGACTAGAACAGGACTAGAACCAGGTGTGCCAGCACCGCAAGGCGGAGGATTAGCCTACTGAGAGCTAAAGCGGCGCCAGTGACTTCTATGATTTATCCTCCATTTTTTGCGAATTATCATAGGACCTAGCAAGTAGATGGAAGAATTAGTTGTTACTCAATAAAGTGTAGTAGAAAAATAAACAAATGACAGTGCAACTGCCAGTGTTTTTCTGTCACATCTAAACAAGAATCAAGGGATCATGATTATCTATCAAAAATAACTTCAGATTCTTAATTGGCTTGTGATGGCTTGTCATAGGATTCTGAAGTTTGATGATGGTTAATGAGAAAATGCAGTAACTCTTATCGGTGATTATTTCCTTTATACAATGAATTTTACATATTTATTAAATAGTTTTATTCATAAAATTTTTATTCCTGTCTGGCAGCTTTAAACCAGTGGCAATCGTTCAAGAGTAGACAGAATCAATGTTTCTTCCTCCGAAATCAAAGCTGTTGTGACATCATCGGCTTTGATTCTAAATAATTGTTGCTGTCTTGCTATCCTTTGCAGCCAGCTATTGCAAGCCCTGATATCATGTTCATTAAAATTCACATACCATGGGACACGCTGTGCAAGTATGCAGAGAGGCTGAATATCAGGATGCCCTTCAGGTACTTTCAAATTATACTTCATTCTCTCTCAATGTATGTGAAGATGAGTCTGTGTTTTGAGCAATAAATGTAGACTCTCCACAGAGGAAATGCTTTCTCTTTGAAAATTAGGTTACCCTGGACAAGTTTTTTCCCTTCTAATTCATTTGTCTAATGTGGTAAGTATCCTGATTCCCTAGACATGTTATATCTTTTCAAGGTGTACTTGCCTAGAAGGGAAAATAGTTATTATCAAATTTTCACTTTTCAACAATTCCCAAGATTCATTACATTTCCTATTAAATGGGGTGGATATAACTTGAAATTTTTCTGGAAGGCAGGAAGTATAAGTATATATGATGCGAACACATAAATATGGCATTCTTCTCTGTATATTGGTTAGCAATTATCATTTCTCAGGTCACCTAGAATGTTTTCTTAGGTCTGTCCTCAGTACCAAGGAATAAATGGCAATGAGACTTCACCTTTCAAATAATTTTAGCTTTTCCTTTAGATAAGCAAAGACTGAATAGACATGTTTCCCTAAATTTAGTATTTTTGTTATATGCAAAAGGTATCACTTCCCTCCACCATTTCTCAAAATAAAATTCAACATTGCTACTTCTGTATGCAACATGTAAACTCCACATTGAATATAAGAATAATTACAGGCCGGTGCCACGGCTCAATAGGCTTATCCTCCACCTTGCGGTGCCCGCACACCGGGTTCTAGTCCTGGTCAGGGCGCCAGATTCTGTCCCGGTTGCCCCTCTTCCAGGCCAGCTCTCTGCTGTGGCCCGGGAGTGCAGTGGAGGACGGCCCAAGTGCTTGGGCCCTGCACCCCATGGGAGACCAGGATAAGTACCTGGCTCCTGCCATCGGATCAGCGCGGTGTGCCGGCCGCAGCTCACTTGCTGCGGCGGCCATTGGAGGGTGAACCAATGGCAAAGGAAGACCTTTCTCTCTGTCTCTCTCTCTCTCTCATTGTCCACTCTGCCTGTCAAAAAAAAAAAAAAAAAAAAAAAAAAAAAAAAGAATAATTACACTAATGTGGAGCTCAATATGCTTCATCAGTTTCTAAGGATGTTTAATAGGCTCAGAGTAGACAGGATACTAAATAAAAGGGCCTCTCAGTAATTAATTTAAATGAACACTAAGAGTACAATTCAAAACCAGAGGGAAAACTTTCACTCTCATTAGCATGGAAAAGGTCAACTCTGGGAGGAGTTCTGACATTCTCAGGTTTTATGACAAGCGCCCATGATACTGAAGTTAAAATATGAGATATTGATCCTCATCTTATTCCTCAGACTTTGAATGAAGCAACCACAGTCATTTCCCATAAACAGTAATTTGATAAATTTGAGATTCGAGCATTTTAATGAAGTTTAGTCCCTTAGTGAAGCAAGTAAAGGACTGTGAGATATTCTTTTGTGTTATGATTAGGTAGTTTGAAGTTCATAGAGGATCATTTTCAGTTGAGTAATTATACTGAATTCATATTCAGAGTACCACTAGCTATGTAGGCATTCATGCCAAACCACTTTTCTTGATATCTGAAAAATTTACCTTTTGGCATTAAATAACTTTCTAAATTATTTGAAATTTGTCACTGGGAATCAATACTGATAATAATATATAATAATCTGCTGATATCAGAATACTTCCCCTTTGCTCTGAATAGCACATATTTATGCCACTCAAAATTATGCAGAATATAAACAATGAGATGAATTTTGACCACTCAAAGAACTTTATATGTGATAATAATCAAACGTCACATACACATTTTAAATAATTGCCTTTATTCAGAGTAGGAAACAAATTTCATAAAAACATTCTGAAACTTAATTTAAAAATATTTTCTGTAAGCTTTAACACATTTTATAACACCCATTTTTTATCTTGTGAATGTAGTTTTAAAATGTATAAAATATTCCTGGTTTAAATTATAATTGTGAAAATAGAAATAGTTTGTGTTCAACATTAGATGATCTAAATAAATAAGAACACATCCTTGCAATGGAATATAATTCATTTATATAAAGGAATGGTACAAATATTTCTTGATGAATGTGGAGTAAAAAATAATTCAATACAATAAAAATATGTGGGATATATAATTATTCTTACAATGTAAAATGCATAGCAATGCAATTGGAAGGAAATATAATGACATTTAAAATGATTACTTCCACTGGTTGGAAATATAGACTCCTGTATTTTGTTTATATCATTATAAAATTATCTATTTTGTGCAACTGGCATTGTGGTACAGTGCATTAAGTGGTGCTGGCATCCCATATAAGCATTGATTGAGTCCCAGCTCCTCTACTTCCATCCGGCTCCTTGCTAATATGTCTAGGAAAGCAGTGGAAGATGTCCCTAATATTTAGGGCCCTGCCACCCACATGGGAGACCTGGATGGAATTCCAGATTCCAGGCGTCAGCTTGGCCCAGTACTGGCCATTAAGGCCATTTGGGGAGTGAATCAGTGAATGGAGTTTAGGTCTTTTCCTGTGTCTCTCCTCTCTCTGTAATTCTGCCTTTTCAAATAAATAAGTTAATATTTATTTAAAAATTGTCTTTTTTCCACAAGCCCTAATTTGATTTCATGATGTAAACACAAGAGGCAAAGGAAATGTCAGACCCAAGACAATAGCTGGCTGCTTTTTCACATCAGGACAAAATTACTAAAATTTTTTCAACCTAATACTAACTGATTTAAGTTGCCTTCATCCTGCTGCAATGGTTGTAATTCACATGGTTTTTAAGTTCATCATTGAATTTACATGGTACATTGAAGGGGAAGAAACCCATAATGGCAAGCATAAGTTTGTTCTGTCTATTGATTTCAATAATGATTCAGTTCAGCTATAATGGACATCATGGTAAAATATCTTATCAAAAAGGGAGCGTGTCTATGGACTTCATATATATCAGATATTTGTCAAAGCCCAGAAGATTGCTTTCTTTGGCTGTGTGATGGGGATTTGGCATTATTTGACTTAAATCTTGGCATGTGCCTTTATTATTAACATGCAACTACAGTTTCATTCAGTAGCAGAGAAAATTGTGAACACAATGTTGGTGCATTTGGGCAGTTATAGCAAATTAGCATAGAGCATGTGGTTTAAGCAATAAAACTTTATTTTTTAGTTTTGCAGATTATAGTACTAGCATGGTCAGATTCCAGTGAAATATCCTTTGCAGTTTTATCTTCACATGGTAGAAATGCAACTAACATTCTCTTCTAATAAGGACACTAACCTCCTTGACAAGACTCCACCCTCATGAAATAATTACTTCTAGGAGAACTCACATCTAAATACCACTAGATATTCAGGTTTCAACATACAAATTTTGTTGGATCACCTTTGGTCCTTTGCAATCAGTAACAAATATTTTCTTTACATGAAATAGGTCAGTGTTGTAATTTCAAAGGTAGTTTCTCCTTCTTTATCAAAAAAGCATGTTTATCCTCCTGTACTCTGTTTATATTTCATAATTTAAAATAAGTTTCTTCTGGGTCAAATGTTATGCCATACTGGTTACATTGCCTGTTGGGATGCCCACAGAATCTTATGTCATACTTTTCATTTTGCTCTTTTCTCCATCTGAACTACACTTTCTAAATTTTTAAAAACTGAAAGTTTAATAGAGCACCTCATCTCCCTTTCTCTCAATTCCCTTATTCCTCCCATTTTCAAACAAATTTCAGGAAATTCTTAGTGACAAAATAATTGGTATTCTTATATTTTTATTTTTAAAACAATCTTTTATCAAATTAATTCCTTTGTTTCTCTTTTTTAAATGCACATGGAAACAAACCCCTTGCCATATTGTTTTTCAGATTAGTTTGAGTTAAGACTGTGTGCTTGGCATCCATCTGTCTCAGCAGAGATTTTGAAAATGATATTCCCTTAAGTCAGATTTTTTAAAAACAAGTAGCATTCATTGCTGATTTCCTGGTAACAGTGCCTTTAAAGGGAGCGTTCTGATACATTCAAGAGCAGGGCGTGGTGCAGAAAGCTGTAGAACTTATGCAGTTACTATCTGTTCTTTCTCATTTTTTTCTCTTTATTATACACTTTTCAAACAAAGTTTGTAATTGCTGTACTATTGAAGCTTTTAGAGCGTACAATTCTCAAGATGTAATAATATAACTATTATAAATTAGGTAGCATTTTCCAAAGTGTACCAAGGTAATATTGGTTATATAAGATCTTAAGGAGAAAATCTTGTAACCGAATACCTTCAATAACTGCTGAATTAATAAGTACATTGACATCAAGAACTTTTGTAGGAGAGGTAATCAGTCTTTAGAATGTAATAGAATTACTTGGGAATCAGTAAATAATGAAATTTTTTGGAACTTATGTCTGGAAATTCTAACATCACAAATCTGGGATAGGATTGGAAACATAGATTTTTAAAAAGCATTCCAAATGGCCCTGATGCAAATGATAAAGAAATATTGTCCTGGGGATTTCAATCATTTTGAAATTTCTTGTAGTTTTTATAAATTTCAAGGGGGCAGTTATGAAATATAGCCTCTCATTTCCAGCTGATGCTGATATTCTGAGATAATAGTTTGAGAAATGCTAGAACACAGAGTTGTCTTGAAACAATGGATATAGCGTTAATTAACTCCTTAGTATCAGGCATCTCTTTTATTTATAAGGTACACCTGAAATTTGGGATTGCAGTCAGCATCTACTACCAGAATACTATCCAAGCAGCAAAGTGTGTTTTTTTAAATTTTTAAATGTCTGAATTTTTGAGAGGTAGAGTTACAGACAGAGGGAGAGACAGAGAGAATGGTCTTCCTTCCATCTTCTGGTTTACTCCTAAATGGACATGATGGCAGGACCTGTGTGGATCTGAAGCCAGGAGCCAGGAACTTGTATCCCCCACAGGTGCAGGGGCCTAAGCATTCGGGCCATCCTCTAGTGCTTTGCCAGGCCATAGCAGAGAGCTGCCGGTGCCCTTATGGGATACCAGCACCTCAGGCAGATGCAAAGCCCACTACGCCACAGTGCCGGCCCTGCAGCAAAGTGTTTTATAATGGCCAATCCAGTCTCCAGGCATTATCTATTATCACGTTCAATGACGTATATAACGTAATGACGTATATAACGTATAGAAATTTAAATACAGTTGGCCCTATGTATCAGTGTGTTCTGCATCACTGCATTCAATCAACTGCTTATCAAAAGTATTTGAAACAAATTGGCAACTACATCTCAAACATATATATATAGAGAGAGACTTTTTTCTTGTCATTATTTCCTAAGCAATGCAGCATTACAACTTTTTATGTAATATTTACATTATATTAATATTATACATAATCCAGAGGTGATGCAAAGTATACATGAGAATGCATTTGTTAGATGTAAATACTATGCCTGTCCTTCTTAGAAACAAGTGGATCCTGTAGACATTTTCTGCAAAATAGAAGAAATAACTATGTACAAGACTAATAAAGAAATCAAACAGGAAATATATATGTGTGTGCGTGTGTCTGTGTGTCTTCTTAGAACAGATGCTTAAATTATGCATACAAATTTTACCTTGAGCTTTTCCATGTAGTTATTTAGTTATTAAAACATATTAAAATTTATTAAGCAAAGCTATAGATTTATTAGTTATAACCTTTATTGCATAAGTTTTCTGATTCCTTATTATTTGACCACAACTGGAGCATTTTGTTTAAATTTGGGGAATAATGACAATAAATTACAGGATGAAAGACCACTGGTCAAAAAAGGTTAATCCTACAGGGCCATTTATGCAAAACAAATAAGGAGAATTAAAGATTGTTCATGACTTCATAGATTATAGGTACAGTGTATATTGTTGGGGAAATATAATTAACAAAATCTCTCCCACTCTTCCATAAAGTTAGAAGAAAAATATTAGTTAGAGGAAAAATATTACTAAATAAACATTAAATTAGAACAGATGTATGAAGTTCAGTCGGCCAAGAGGTTGCAAAGACAGGAAGAAATTCCATGCTCTTAAATAATCAATCAGATAGAACCCTATCCTTACATGCTCTCATTTGTAAGTAAGGGGATTGAAAACATTTATCATGCAAAGTTTATCTCCGATTTAGCTGCTATTTGGGGAATTCTTTGGATTTGTACAGGAAAATAAAACTTCTGATACCTTTATGACAGGAGTAGTTTTGCACCTTCGAGCTAGGAATTCACCAAAGTTAGGTGCCTATGATCCTTTAGAATCTGAGAGACCTCCCTTAATAGTTACACATCAAACGGGTGCTACCAGTGCTTTAGGAAACTGACAAAAGCCATATATAGTTTGCTAAAAAGCTTATATACATTTCAAAGAGGAGAGAAAGTTCTTACAGTGCCAAGGTTTACTCAAGTAAATGCTGCGGGGCGGGAGAAGTTTCTTTCTTTTTCAACTGGGAGAATTGATTCTCTCATGTTTAATTTTTGTTTTCCCACCCACAGAGTGGAACTGTTCTACAAAATATCTGTATTCATCTTGCATAACTCTTTTTCCCTTTGATCTTTATTTCTCCCAAGGCATTTTTGAAATAAAAACTTAAGAAAAGTGCTTAACAGAAATATTTCATACTAGCAGCAAGAGATAAAGAATTGCATTTACCCAAATGCTGCTTTATACATTTTCCTAATATCTACTATTGATAATAACAACTGCAAGTTTCATCTCCTCTTTTTTTTTAAACTTTTATTTAATGAATATAAATTTCCAAATTAAATATACTTCTGGATATCTCTTTGTACAGGAAGTTATTTTAAGGAATGTTTTACACTTGAAGATCTTTATTTTACTATTGATACCTTATTTGGTAAATGTTTATTACATGCAAAGTGTTCTCAGTCACAGAAGGAGTTAAGTGCAGCTCTGAATTCAACAAAACTCCTTCATCTATCAATCGTGAGAATGTCTACTACTTATCAAAGAATGTGCAAGTATGCACCAGGCATGCAAAGTCAAATGAATTAAACTATTCTCATTAAGAAATCAACCTATTTAAAAGATGGTGAAGAGTTATGTAATATTGGTGGAGAGGATGTTCAGAAAAAAGAATGGATTTACAGAACTATAAGGTTAAGATCATATATGCACACAGACTTCCCTGTATGTTTGAAAAATGAAAGGGGATGGCATAGGATCCATATAACAAACCTCAAATCTGATATTTTAATTTAATGATAAATTATGTCAGGGACAATTTTAAAATTATTTTCTAGCAATATTACCAGTGATTGCAATGAAATATAGCATATCAGAGGGTTTTCAAGTTTTCTAAGTTAGCAGTAAATATTTGACTCTCAGCCTTGCTTTCTAGATATATCACCAGGAAGGAGCTTACTGATCCTTTGAAATGGGTTTGGAGATGGAGACAAAGAATCATTGTAGGAGACCCACCTGGGTCAGCTTCCTGAGTTCCAATACGAGGATGTAGAGAAAATCTTTAGGATATGAATGAACCTTTGTCACTACTTGCTCTACACTATTTAGTCTTTCATTTCTCTAAAATCTCACATGCTATCTAAAACACTCAATTATCTCCCCATTGCTTTCCATCTAAAAACCTAAGCTTTAGTTATAAGACCACCCACCATAATTTGTGTTGTTCATCATCTCCCCCATCTTTTTGTCACTGTCCTAAATTTTCAATACTGCATGTATTCTAGCTATTGCCAAATTGGTTGAAAAGCCCTGAATCTCAGAGTGCCTATTCTTACCCCACAACCATCTTATACTACAATCTCTGTCTAGAATGCCACATCTAACCACTTCATCCAAAGAATTACCACTACTTCAAGAGATAATCCAGATAATAAATCCTCATCAAAGACTTCCCTGTGCCATTTTCCCTCTATGTATAAAAACTGAGCTTCCTTTTGTAGGTATTTCTGTTTTTCTATGTTACCACATTTTGTTAAAACTAAAATTACCTGTCATTTCAACTGCAAAGGAAACTCCTTGTAGGCACAGACCCTTCTATTTTACTCTATTTTTCACATGGCTATACTTTATTATATCTTGGTAAGCCAGAAGTATTTATTACAGATCTGTTTAGATGAATACGTGGATGGATGGATGGATGGTGGGTGGATTTCATAACATAAGCAAATATATTGGATTTTTAGGCACTGAGTGGGAGAAGAGAGACTTTGCAAACCATTTTAAAGGTGATACTTAAAAGGGTCTATTGCTTTATTAAATTATCTTTTTTATTAGTGACATATATTCTGAATTAAAACCATGTAAATTCTATATTCTTCTTAAGCATATGGAACATGGAAATGTTCCAAATGACTGAATGTTGTCACTCACTCATTTCATGTTATTTCCCTGTGACTTTCCTCAGCTTGATTTCTATTCTTTTTCAGGAAAAAATGCTATTACACTGACCAAAGGAGCAACTCAATGGGCAGGTAGGTGGTGGATGTATAATTTGTTTATACTAATTAGTCATTTGGAAAAAGTAAAGACAAAATTCATTTACCCATATCAGCATTTGTAGATTTTAGGAAGAAAAATTTTATTGATTTGTTCAAGAAATTTCCAGAACCACTTACACCAAACTGAACAATGTTTAATCAGGATATTTGTTTGGTTCTATTTACCATTAATATTTCTGGAATCCTCTCATAATATATAATATATAGAAAGAAGATTTTTATTGAAAATTAACATTTTAAATAATCTAATTTTAAAATATTTTGAAACAGAGATTATATGTAAAAGATGACCCATTAGAGTAATAGAACAATAGATCCAGCAAAGACTTGCTGAGTCAACTCATCTCTGACTTGACAGAAGTGATGTAGACTAACTCTGAGAGGATGAAGTGATTTACCTAGGTCATGTAGCATCTTCTGAATTGGAGACCCACTCTTATTCTGCCATCAAATACTAGAATGACCCATCTCTGTCATCCTGATATTGAAAATGAGTTTATTTTCAAGAACATTTCAAAACATCCGTGTTTTTTTTTTTTTAATCTATGATAGTAAAAGTAACCATGGAAAAGGGATTAAGCCAACCACAATCCCGAGACATAAGGAACTCTCCCACCTGAAAAGCTTGGCACTGTTTAATGGAAGGAAATGATCTTCCATTTACTGAATGCCCAATCTAAAAGCTTAGTACAGTTGGCTGTTTTCTTCCTCATTGCTATATAATCAATGAACAAAGGCAAAAACCATGTGAATGTGGTAAAATATGCTCCACTGAATAATTTTACAGCTTACTGTGAGTCAGAATGGCAGAAATTCTAGAACAAAAAAAAAATATTGTGAATAAAAGACCACTTTAAGAAAGGATTAAATAAATCTAGTTCCTTCATAAAATAAAATTGCTGAATATAATTTGGAACCTTCAAAATCATAATTTTTTAACTTAAAATTTAGGTATTGTATGTTTGAAAGATAAGAAAAATAAATTATAAAAAACAATTTGATATTAGAATAGGTATTAAAGACATTAATACTAAAATGACCTTTAAAAAATTAGTAATGTTCCTCAGCCAAGTTAGATTTTCCTAGCAAGTTCACATGAATGAGCTCTCATTGTTTCCCATGTTGATATTTGACCATGTAGCAAATTTCCAGTTATATTTGCATAAAATGTCATTGGACTATTATAAATTTATCTTAAAAATTTATCATATAAATTTACAACAGCAGGTTTCTCTTATTTGCTCTGCATATGCCTGTTTAATGTTAGATGATTAGTAAAGTCTCTTGTATTTGCTTCACACACTACTATAGAATTAGTGAGATTTTGCTGATGCACAATTTGCAGGGTTTCTATTAAATAGTTTATTTCAGGAACTTGCAAAAGAATAAAATCCAGTGTATTAAAATTATAACAGAGTCTATATATGGAAATAAACTACCACAATTTAGTTTTAGAATGAACTTGTACATAGAATCTATGATATATATGTATGAACCAAATCCTAAAACAAAAATTTTAATAGAGAAAAATGTGCTTTTTAATGTATTGATTAATAAGAATAGGAAACTAGAAAAATGAGCATTTATCGTGTGTCCTAACATGTCTTATCTTTTATGTTTATTATTGTTTTCTGTTCACCAAATGAAAATACACTTACCAGTTATTCAAAATGATTATTAAAATATCTTGAGCCTTACTATAGCCTACAATTTACTTATCATTCTTTTGTTTCTTAACTTTGTTGATGCATGTGGAAAGGCTAGGGAAAAAGTAAAAAAAAAGAGTTTATGAGTCTATGTAACATGTTACTGAAAAAAACTGCTTTTACTTGCCTAAGTTCAAGCTATTCAACTAAGGAAATTGATCCTGATTTTAAAAACTTCACCATCAAGCAAGACATTATTAAATGTCTTGTATGATGTGTGTATGCTGTATGATCCTTACAATGTTGTGAAACTAAATCTATAAACGTTTTGAAAAGTAGGAAATTAAAATTAAATGTGCCCATTGAACTTTAGTTGTGCTTTTCCTTTTTGATCGGGAAAGATGCTTTGTGTGTGGTTGATTTTGAACCGTAAGCAATAATAGGATAAATTATGTAAAGGAAATTATGCAGCTCTTGAAGATCATCATCTCTGCAGGCAGATTGAGAGGAAATGGCTGTAGTTTTTATTGCTGCAATTTACCTTCTTTTTACAAAGTATTTTCACGTTCAGTTATCAAAGAATATTCAAAAGGATCCTGCAAGGGAGGCAGAAAAGAAGGTAGCAACTTTTGCGAATCAGGTAAAATAAATTACTCCTTTCCCATCTCTACCACCCCCAACCCATTTTTCACAGATAGTTTCACAGAGTTTGTATTTTAGCCAAGTTATTTTGACCCTTTAATGCTGATTTATTTTCAGTTTCCATAGATTTCTCTTAGCTTTTCCTGAATTGCAGCAAAGGAACTTAAAAGTAACTTAGATCACATTGTACCACAAAAATTTTTTTATTTTATTTTTTGCAAGATTCCTTTGCAAGTTTGTAGGACTCCTAATACAATTAAGGTTTGATGAAGTATAGAGTATTATATTACATTGGTGGTAGGATAGTGGTAGTTGTATTAGAATTAGTAGGGGTAATATTCCTCATTTTTTATCACACACATTTATTGAGTGCTTACCATGTACTGTACTTTGTATTGTAACAATGAGCAATGTACTTAATTATGAAAATGTCATTTCAGTAAGATATGAGAAAATCAAGTGAAGCTAAAAGAAATAAATAAATTGCATCGTTACCTCCGGGTATTCAAATCCAGGCCTGATCATGTCTTGCCATCAGACTGCATGTATCCTTAAACAGGAAGTATATGTGTAAGCCTACCTTGATAATATCACTTAATTTCTGTCATCATTAATGGAGAAGAGAGGAACAAGTTCTTGTCTTCAGGCAAAAAATAATTTACACGTGAGACAGAGAAGAGTTGTAAGCCAGGTAGCAAGGTTTAATGCGGTCATCTATCAGAACAGATGGGCACTTCTCTAGGCAGAATATGAACATCCCCAGCCATTCAGATGGGGAAAAGAAAGGATAAATAGCTTAATGGAGAGAATACACATGGAAGGCCAGGCAGGCTGCTGAGGGAAGAGCTAAGAGCTGAGAGTACCATTTTTATTCAGACTGAGGCTTATAAGGACACAAGGCTCAGTTATGCTATTTCTTCTCCCCTCCACCCTTCTCCTTGACAAAGGGTTTGCTGGATGTGAAACAAGTAAAATTCTCTCCAAGGTCTTATATCCAGTGACATCAGACTGGGTTACCCACTTGACTCTGGGCAAAGAGGATTCCTCTACACTGCTTTCCTTGGGAGAAGGCTACTTAACATCCCCCCTCAAGAGAAATTACCCATACTATTGTGTGCAGCTCTCCATTTCTGTATATTTTTCCAGCTGACTTATGGATGTAGAGCTTTTTATGTGTATTCTTGTTATACGTCCTATGGCGTTTGAGGGAGGCCTGGAAAAGACTGTTCTGAACAATACAGAAGGCTGGTCACATCATCCAACAGGATAGGTTGGGAACCCTGCCTCTCAACCATCTGGACCAGTATATCTTTTATTCTGTTAGAGATAAAGCAGACAAGAGCATTAAAACACATGGTCTAAGGGTCAGCACTGTGGTATAGTAGATAAAGTCACCATCTGTGATGACGGCATCGCATATGAGTGCCAGTTTGAGTCTTGGCTGCTCCACTTCTTTTTTCTTATTATTTTTTTTTTTATTTTGACAGGCAGAGTGGACAGTGAGAGAGGGAGAGACAGAGAGAAAGGTCTTCCTTTACCGTTGGTTCACCCTCCAATGGCCGCTGCAGCCAGCACGCTGCAGCCAGTGCACCGCGCTGATCTGAAGCCAGGAGCCAGGTGCTTCTCCTGGTCTCCCATGGGGTGCAGGGCTCAAGGACTTGGGCCATCCTCCAGTGCACTCCCGGGCGAGAGCAGAGAGCTGGACTGGAAGAGGGGCAAACGGGACAGAATCCGGTGCCCCGACCAGGACTAGAACCCAGGGTGCCTGCGCCACAAGGTGGAGGATTAGCCTATTGAGCCGTGGCGCTGGCCGGCTGCTCCACTTCTGATCTAGCTCCCTGCTAATGATCTGGGAAAATAGCAGAAGATGGCCCAAGTACTTGGGCTCCTTTGGCCACATGGGAGACCCATAAGAACCTATTGGCTCCTGGTTTCAGATCAGTCCTGCTCTGGCCATTTGGGGAGTAAACCAGCAGATGGAAGATTCTCTCTCTCTCTCTCTCTCTCTCTCTCTCTCTCTCTCTCTCTCTCCCTTTCAAATCAATAATTCTTAACAACAAAAAACCCACATGGTTCAAAGAGAAGCAGTAAGCATAAGGTAGTTATAGGGCCAAGGACAGACAATAGCCAAGATTCTATGACCAAATGCTTGGCCAAAAGTTCCAAAGCTGGTTAGCCTGGTCCTGGAATTGTGTGGCCTTACCCAAGAAATGATGAGCAAGGTTTTGTACCTGTCCAGTTTGGCCCATAAAAATATTTGGAGCATGGCATAGAAACTCCATTGGGCAGTAGTTGCATGCCTGTTTTGAAGGACTGCGTGTAGCAAAGCTGGAACAGGGCCGCTAATCATGACAGCTTTTACCTGATGAAGGCTGTGTTCTATTCTTTTTCCCAAAAGAGAGGTCCTCATTTTGGCCTGCTCTCGAGTGCCTGATTTAGGAACTTCGCTATTTCCCTCTGCCTAGGAATCCATTCCTGTTAGAGAAATGCTCTAGCTGCCTTAAGGTTTCAGGGCAGGAATTTGCAGTATGGCCTGTATCTTCCATGGGAATGGTCTTCTCTCCACAGCAGTGAGGACAAACCCTGAATAAATAACTTTGTGGTGGGCTGGCTGTGATTTACCCTGACACCTGTATGATGCATTCTGTTATGAAGTTAAAGGTGTTAGTTAACACCCAAGACCAG